CAAACACAACCATCAATCATCTAATGCTTACATGTTCGTAACAAAGAATACACTGTATATACATAAATATGATATAGAAGAATGTAGGAAACATGACATTTAACTTGATGTATCAAGTGCACTTTATCAAGGGGCTGGAGTATGAAACATGGAAACAAGGAGGATACCATATGAAATATCGAATGAAACTTTGGTGTTTTTAGTGAACTAGAGACAGTGTTTTTGTGGGACGTAGACAATGATGATGTGGTCTAAAATATGGAATATGGTGTCTAAACTGGTTACATGGTTGGAATGAAGAGCACCGAATGTAATAGTTACTGCTCTGTCAAAACTTACCCGTTTTAAATAGTCTGTGCCCGAGGAAACACATGACTAGGCCCTATGATACCGATCAGAGAGGAAATGACTTGACCCGCAACATCGTCTGATGTAAAAAAAAAAATCTTGGTAACATTGTACAATTTGTAAATCATTTTGGAAAGCAAATGGGGATGTACAATTAAAATTCTATAAACTGAGGGATATTTTTCTTCCACTATTAAACTAGCAGTAAGTTCAAGTACTAAATTCATAATTTAATACTCTTATATTACACTTCCCTGTCCCTGACATTCAAATACGTTCACAAACGCAACCGACACTACAATAGTGTTAATTTGTTCCAACATACAATGTTTGAGGAGCATAAGCAATTGTTTCACTTCACTGAGCTTGTCACCGAGAGAAAGAAGAACAAATGAGGGTTTCACTGAGAGAAAGAAGAACAAATGAGGGTTTCACTGAGAGAAAGAAGAACAAATGAGGGTTTCACTGAGAGAAAGAAGAACAAATGAGGAGGTACGACGAATAGCTGGAGTACGAGACATTAAGGAAGTCATATTGCAAAGTAGGACGAGATGGTATGGGCACGTGTTAGGAGAGAGATGAGGAGCAAACGAAGAGAGCATGGCAGAAGGATGAGAGGGCGACAGAGAATTAGATGGAGGGATGGAGTGGAGGCGGAGATGAGAAGGTTGGGAGTAACAGAGGATGAGATGATGCGGCCGATCGAGGGAGGTGGAGAAAATCATCAACAGGGAGGTCAGCCATAGCTGACGTCTTAGCGTGGACCATCCGCGAGAGACTACGACAACAAAGAAGAAGAAGAAGAAGAAGAAGACTAAGCTTTGCTAGGAGTGCATTCTACAATGCAGCTTACTGTAGCCATCACAGGTATGTGCAGGCTCGGAAAGCTTGCAGCCGTAACCACCGATGGGCACGTATGGTACTGCCCTCAGTGTCTCTCTGTCTCTCGCTATGACGGCATACATCGCACCCTGGCCACGGTACAAGCCAAACCCCACGCTCGTCTTCTCCTTGGAATCTAGCGTATGCACCTGAGACACAAGAAGAACAACTTCAGGTTTAATTCGCAGTGGAATAAAAAAAAAACAATATTCGCCTGAGTGATGATGAGAAGAATATAAAGAAGATACACGTGCATATATATAAATAAATATATATAAATAAATATATATATATATATATATATATATATATAATCTATACACACCTTCCTGGCAGTTTCCTGTATAGAGTTCACGGTTAATAACTTCTCTATGGAGGCGAAATACTCATCTTCACTAAAATCGTTATGCTTCAAAAAGTACATGTAGACATCGTATTCAACACTGCAACGACGAGCATCAGAATATCATTGCAATTAGGTCAATGGGATTAGACGAAAAATCATTAGAAATCAAGCGTGTGTAACCAAGCTTTAAACAGCATAGCGACGAATTGCAACTAGCAAGACTATGACCGACTTCACCACGACTGCCATACTATGTGCACAGCCACCTGTTTAGCTGATAGCTTGTCTCACAGGATACAGGGCTGCCCCTCGCTGATATCTGCTGTGCAAACTGAAAGTTCAATGTGGCTGCGATGCTGTAGTGCTCATGCAGCTTGCAATACGGTGCCTGCTCCTGAGCAAATTCCAGACTGCAGCCACCAGGGATGGGATCTACAAGTCGAATAATCAAAAGCTTAACACGGCAAGCTCCATCAAGTTGCTATACACTGTAAAAATGGCTATAAAACGTGTTTATGCTTTTAACTCTATTTCAGTTTTCAGATTGGCAGCAGTCAAAAAAGTGCTTGCAATTTCAACCGTAAACTGAATGACAGACAAAAACGTTTTTGGCAGATAGGAATTAAAAACAATTATGCATTTTGATTAATCACAGTAACCGCAATCACACACTACATCAAAAGTTTCTTGACCATTTATATTAATTAAATTGGAAATATTATCGACTTGAATCTCACTGAGTACCCAACATCACGAATAATGCACTACAGGTAATAGTTATATTGTACACACCCCGATCGGTGTAAGAAGTCGCAATAATCAACACTTGTACGCTGGTATTGTGAGTGTTGTTGAGATATGCAGTAGGATGCTCAGAGAGAATTTTGTAAACATACACAACTCCTGAAAGAAGAGAAACGTGGTAAATGAATCTGACACTTCAAAGGAGGAAAGCGATCATTTTCAGCAAATACTAAATGCTATATACATCAGATCAAGAGTAGATAATAGAGACTCTCTATTATCTACTCCTAATCAGATGCTTATATGCTAGCGCGACCAGGCTCTACGACTGTTTCACGACATATAGAGGCCGGCCACGTCGTGAGAAGCAAGAGGGTAACTTGTGGCTACTGACGCTCATAGGGACTATGTCCCCCAGGGTACTGCCGGAACGTACCCTGGGTACTGTCCGGTATACCGGAACGTACCCTGGTAACTATCTGATATGGTTAGGGTTAGGATTAGGGTTAGGGAGTAGGCGTAGGCAACTCCCTAGACTCGTTCGTGGAGTAGGCGAGGTACGGTCCGGCATATTAAAGAGTACCAGGGTACGTTCCGGTATACCGGACCGTACCCAGGGTATGTTCCGACAGTACCCTGGGGGACATAGACCCTCTCGAGTCTCAGTGCTACTGACATAAAAAAATTATTATTTACCTGCTGAAATCAAGAAGTATGTTTAGACAAGAGGGTCGATAAGTTAGCAACATCTGAGTAGGAACCAAAAACAAGAACGTGCAGAAAATATGCAACAAAATTAATTCTGTTCCAATCAAACAGCAATTAAGTTTTAATTGGCACAGCGCTGCTTTAGCTGCAAAATTTATAAATACCTGCAGCAGTTGTATTCACAGAAGACTCGTACTCATACTGTGGCGTAAGTGATAGTGTTAGCGCATGCACTTGACTGTGCACTTGAAAAATAACAAATCCTGGACTGCCTTCTTGTGTGACATTCCTGGTGTCATTGCGTAGCTCAAGTTTAATCCCAGTGGTTAATGGAGCTATTGAAAGCCGCATTGGTAAGCCACTTGTCAGTGTAATAGGCAATTCTGCAAATAAATCAGTCATCAATAACACATATAGGCCCGACACATATTTGCAGTTTAGCACCCCGGAATATTTATAGTTTAGCACACATGCAAAAACACATTTAAGGGGTCCCAAACTATCGCTGAGAGGGTCTAAGTCGCCCAGGGTACTGCTGGAACGTACCCTGGGTACGGTACGGTATACTGGAACGTACCGGTACCCTGGTACTATCTAATATGCCGGATCGTACCTCGCCTACTCCACTAACGAGTTTAGGGAGTCGCCTTTGCCTACTTCCTAACCATATATTGTTACCTGGGTACGTTCCGGCATAGCCCGACCAGGCTGTGCGACGGATTGTCTATACAATCCGTCGGTATTCTAACCGGTATTGATTTGTATTGACCGGTATTGACCGGTATTGACCGGTATTCCCGACCGGTATTCTAACCCTAGCAATACCGTTTCTTGGAGCTAGTTCCGGCAGTAACCTGGGGGATATAGATGATAGATGATAGACCCTATGTCATGAGCCAAACCACCCCAAACTATCCTTCATCCAAATATAATCCATAAAATACCCAATTTAGATATGACTAATACCCGCTTTATATACGAATTTTATCCCCTTTATCAGTTTATGATGACTTTATTTATACTCTTGAGTCATGTGTTGCCGTTGGGTTGACATTGTGTTGTCTTGTGTTGGTGTGTTGACATTGTCACTGTGTCATAATTATATAAATAACAAATTGACAACATTACGGTTACCTGCATTCTGCAACACTGCCAACACAGTATATGAGTTTGCAGACGCAGTGTCATAATCATGCCGTTCTTCTAGTTCACTGTGACACACACTAATTATATAGTAATATACTACAATCGTAAAGAAATAATTTATACTCATGCCAACGATAGCATGTCCAATAAAGGCACTAGACTGGTACTCGCTCCCACCTCGATTACTCGATGGGTGGGTAAGTGTAGGTAAGCCGATAGGTGGGACCGGGTACCAGTCTATAAATGTCTGCCGACCACCAACAAACACAAGAACGTCACTGCTGAGGAAGAGAACGGCTCCAGGTCTGCCGACCACCAACAAACACAAGAACGTCACTGCTGAGGAAGAGAACGGCTCCAGAGACTAACGGGAGAACGCTCGCGCTTGTTTAGATAATAAAATGTAATTCATATGTGAAAAATAATGACAACAACAACATCAACAACAACAATAACATCAATAATAATTATTATTATTAATGCAAAAATGTCACGAGAACATTCTTCTGTTGTGAAGGACATGCTCCAGATCATTATATATAATTATAATGTAATGTAATTTTATATAATGTAATATATAATATGATATATAGTAGGATTGTAATTTTAACCTGCATTACAACCACACCAAACAGCTTGCCCAACAATGTGAAGTTAGATTGTCATTTAGAACTTCAGTAATCGGAAGGAAAAAAGGGAAGCTAGATACAGTAGATTCGTCTGCTATGCCATTTAGGTTACTTGATTTGATGTGGTGATAATCCTGGTATAATCTTAATAAACAATTATATAGTAAGGGTTTAATAGATGCAGTACATACCCTCCGGCGTAAGAGTAGAAAAACGTGCAAAAAGCGGAAGGGTCACTACTAGGGTTGAAATCAATCCCACAAAAAACATTTCTGCAATACAAAGCAAACACACCCATCAATCATCTAATGCTTACATGTTCGTAACAAAGAATACACTGTATATACATAAATATGATATAGAAGAATGTAGGAAACATGACATTTAACTTGATGTATCAAGTGCACTTTATCAAGGGGCTGGAGTATGAAACATGGAAACAAGGAGGATACCATATAAAATACTAGAGCACTCGGAGAGCACAGACCTCCGTCAAGGCAGCTGAATTCTCTCAATGTGAAATTTTTTATTAATTAATTAATTAATTAAGTGGAAAAATTAATTAATTAATTGGATCCGGATTAGTGCGAGCGTGCAGGTGGGGGAGGA